GTTACGAGATCGGTCAAATCTATTGAACCCGTAGAGATTCATCTTTGAAAATAACAGATAAAATATAACGTTTTCCCTTAAGAAACATTTGATAACTATCTGGACATTATAAAGATTTCGCATATGAAATTTGGAAATTTTCTGATGCATAAAAATATTTGTAATCTTAAAATAAAAATACTTTGCATGTTGGATAGGATCTTGTTTAACAAACCTTGAGAATTAATGTTTTGCGTACGAAAGCATTGTAATGTTAACTGATAATCTGCCAAATATAGTTAACATACGCTTACTAATTTCAAAGTTATAGCATGAAAACTATAACAAACACACAACTGTTACGGGGTCGATTCGACGGACCGAGCCCGTGTTGAAAGAGTTAAAATACTAAATATAAATATAAAGCCTAATGTACCAATTCGATTCACCTCTTGTAACCGAGCTCTACTGGTTTTTGGGAATTCCATACCTCATCAGTATTCCTAGACAAGGACAAATCGAAAGAACAAGACTAGGCTTCATATAATGGTGGAGAGTGTATGTTTTCAGTGATTGTTCAGTTAACTAATATTATAGATCAGTTATCTCTTTATTAGTAGCAAAAACAAAGTATCCTATAACAGCAAGCTAAGAAATTTATAACATATAAAAAATCCAAATTCTTTAGGTCAGGTTTTTGAAATATAAATGACATTTTGACTTGCATGGTTGTTGACTACTCTACAGAATTAGGGCTCACAAGAAAAGTCTTATGCTGAGCTCCAGTTTGTATTTCGCTCAAAGCTTGACCGTCATATTATAACGCCCCCACTTCCGAAAAGGCGAGCATTCGAACTCGTGACCCGCTGATTACGAGTCGAATACCCTAACCACCTGGCCATACCAGGCCCCAGTCTGTCTAAATGCATAAACATCAGGATAAGAACACTAGTTGAAACTATAATATGAGCTTTAAGCTATGCGGAATTTTTATATACACCTTTTTTCTTATGGTGTATGTGGTTTTGAAACATGACATCGTAAATTATTTCAGTAATGATCACTGGCAGTGCCAAAAATCCTGGCTCGATTCGCGACTATTAATACACAAGCAAGATCATTAACCGAAATTATTTTTGAAATATTCAGTGAGTTAGAAAGAGATTGGCTCCTTGGGGAAGCTGGTGATAGTGTTGGTTTATACATACTTTTATGGTCTTCACTACTCGCCAATTTTGATGCAACTGAATTGAGCCCTCGAGTCAAGTTACACAATCATAAAATGTAAGGTAGCTTGTTTTTGTTTATTTATTTTTAAATTAAGCACAAAGTAACACAGTGAGCCATCTCTGCACTGCTTACCACGGGTATCGAAACCCGATTTGCTAGCGTTGTAAGTCCGCAAACATACCGCTGTACCACTTGGGGATGGGGCTGTAAAGTAGCACTGAAAACCGTTATTCAGAAGTGACTATCTGGGCCCACTCAACTTTTTTGCGTCTCTAGACAACTTATCATTTTGTGATAATAAACATTCTGGCTTTGTATGTGGACATAAAACTTCACGAGCATGCATTTTAAAGATGGTGTGGCTACATGAAGTCTTCGTTTTTGCATTGTTTAAACACGAAAGCCAAATTCAATGCATCAATGATATTTCACAGAACCATAACCAAGACTACAAAAACAAATATTTTTCGTCAATAAGGCTTAGCATTTTAACGAAGGCTACTCTGTTCGATTTAATGAAAAAGAAGAAAGCTCTGGATGACTTTCACTACCTCAGATCTGACAATCTCATCCCTGGTGACTTGAATATAATGAAATACTTGATTTATGAACTTTAAAACATCTTGAACTATATATATATATATATATACTTAATACGTTTCTCAGTTGCAGGTTTAGAAACTGGTTGTGAACATAAGTATGTTCTATACAAACACGTCCTACGAAAATTATTCACCCAAAAATAAACGTTATATGACGAGATACGAATGCAAACGAGCCGAAACTTTGCATAACTGTAGTTGAATTAGAGATATCAAGTTTTTCATAACCAGATGGAAGGTCAGTCACACCAGCAACATGGTATCCACGCAAGGAATAAATAAAATGCACGGTCCTCTATCATACGTACTTACAATATGTCGCATGTTCTTTTCCTTACGAACTCTGATGTACTCAAAATGCTAGACACGAGAAGGTGTAACTTTGTGTACGATAACAAAATAGCGTCAGTTACACTTATAGAAAATTTCGGTTCCTTAGAATACACATCTTTTGTTTTGTGAAGAATGATGTTGAGACATACACACATTGGCCAAGCAGTGTTTGTTTGTTTTTAATTATGCACAAAGCTATACAAGGGCTATCTGTGCTCTGCCCACCACGGGTATCGAAACCCGGTTTCTAGCGTTGTAAGTCCGCAGACATACCGCTGTGCCACTGGGGGGGCCCAAGCAGTGTTAAGACTATTTTATGTATTCGCTAGAAAGGTCTAAGAGATCATAAAGATAATTGTTCTTCATAATGTTATCGAGTTTATGGTAAAGAGGGCTTATATAGCAAGAAAATGTCATACTACCTAGAAATCACATTTGTATAACCATTACATCTAAGTTTTTTTAGATGGGCAGAAAATTATTTTATATCAATAATCAGATAATTAACATACCAAAGTGCAGTGTTCTAAACATTATAAAAAATTTGCAATTGTTAGTTTTGTGTCACTTACTCTAAGCCTATAAAATTTTCCAAATGTTAAATGCCTCAATTTGTATCCACCGAAATACAACAAATGGAACCTGTTTCAATTTTTGTCCTGTTGCAACGAATTATGTTTCTCTAATAAAACATATCCTACAACGAAATAATCTTCTAAGTTTTACACAAGATTTTACTATAAATATGTAACACTGGTGAATGATTTATTACACACAGAACAAATTTAACTTATATTTTGTTAATTCATATACATTTATGTATTGAAATTAAGACTGTGATATATACATGACGCTTAGATTTATACAAGTAAACAGCCTAAACGGGTAGTCTTAAAACTAAGGTATAAATTACTGTTCTCTTCCTGTAGTGGTTGATCAGAAACAGCACTGATCAGAAGTTAGTAATTTTTGTGATTACTATAATTTTGTGGGGAGGGGGGAAAGAGCACAAACACAGTTACTTACTTGATACAACCAAAATATCAGTTTCACTGCATTATAAGCTTCTAAGGCAACAGTTCTTAAACTGTGGGTCATAGTGTCAGTGAATCAGGGTGGTAAGAAGACAATTAGACTTTACATTAGTTTTGGATTAAAAAGATTTGAAAATTACCCTGAGTTTTGGTTACTATGTTGCTTTGTGTGCTGTCTGGGATTGTATAACTTTAATGTCTAAAAATAGGGTCACATGTGAAATATAAAGTTTGGGAAGCATTGCTCTACAGACTACTAGATATATATTTGTAATGCTAATCTGACATGTGTCCTGTTAATGCAGGTATAATTTTTTTTTTTAAATGGAAGGACAGAATTTCGAACGAATTTTGTTACTTGTAAATAAAGTATTTTAATGCAATTATAAATAAATTGTTAAGTGTAAAAAAATGTGTTCCTTTCTTCTCAGTTTTTAAGAAAATGTATTAAGTACAAATTGTTTATTAACCTCGTGGTGAAGACCTATGCAATCAGGGCCCTCAACAGAGTAGGACCTGAAACCTTTCTTGATTGAATAATTTAATTACTAGTTTGTAAGTCTATAGAATCATAAAATTTTGCATATACAATGGAAGGCAAGTTTAATTGTAATTAATTTTTTATCAACACCCTCTCAATGTAGAATGTAAATTTACAGGTAAATTCATAAACTTCTCGTGTATCAGGCTCCATGACAAATATCACTAATGATGAGTAAACAAGTGTTCAAATGTGTTTTTTTAAGTGTAGTATTTCTGCGTGTTTTTAAACACCTTACCGATGTTTCTATTAAGTAAAAATTCAGTCTTCACATTCTGTGTTTCTACCGTGCTAAGAGTCAGTCAGCAGTAAATTAATATATGTTTTATCATATGTAGCTCTAATACAACATATGCAGACCAAAGCATACAAATTAATCACAACATAAAAATGATTTGGAAGAATTTCTCGACTGAAAAACTGAACCTGTAACTCAGAAACAAAGAAATGTTTCTTAAATGACTTAATCATTATGGCAGATGAGCTTGTATTATTCATCAGAGAGCTGGCCCAATAGAAATCACAAACTGGTGAAATGGATCGAAATCGTGCATTAATAAATATGACAGTTTTAGAACTGTGTGTGTGTACTTTATCCAGTCTACAGTGTATTGACATATAATCAGCTTATGTTTTAGTTAAGTATATATTTATACAATTCAAAAATATCAAGAACCACCACATGCATATCTTTAACATGGTTAACACAATTAACAAATTATTGTAGCAGTTTATATCTTAATATCCAATTCTTTTACAACCAAAACGTTGCAAATATTCACTATACTAAACTCCATCAGAAGCAGCCACTATTCATACAGTATTTCAAATAGCTTTTCATAATGTTGTAATTGCAATATGCAGAAAACATCCTACTGGAATATCCATGATGGAGCTAAAAATCAATGTGTCGTTATTAGTATTACTGAACCTATATATTATCAGTATGTTATTTGACAAAGTTCCCGATCCTTAAATTTCGTAAAAATATTACTTTCTAAAGCAACTTGCACTTTCATTTCAAAACTATTTTATAAGAGTAGTCAAGTCTTAAAGTTATAACAATAAGAACTCTTCCTTAAATCTGACATAATTGTCTCAAAATCTGTACTTAAGGAAGACAAAAAGTAAAGGTGAAAAGTGCCACTTGATTGCAAAAACAAAAAGTTTTTTGAAATGGAATAGATGGGTCCACTGATGTATCAAAAACTCAAATGTTACAGAATTGAATAATATATAGTTTTAAGATACTGAAAAGTTTAACAAACAACCCAACTAGAATTAGGCAATGAATTAGAAGTTTTTATTGAACCATGTACAATTTTGCACTAGCAGCTAGTCCAGTTTAATCCTCCTTGGCTGTATCTTTCTTTGTACCACGGATACGACCAGTACGTCTGGCAGCAATCAAACCAACCTGTTGAAAAAATATTTAAAGCATTATTATAATTACATCTTGAATGAATAAAGTAAAATTTTCTAACTGGAATTACAATAAGCAGCTCAGAAACAGCCTCTTAATGGTTCAACATAGTTTTCTGTTGTATGAAATCATCAAAGCTACCTATATTAGAATTCACAATGTATACTTCCATAAATGTTGTAGTACAACATGTGCAAGTTAACACTATAAGCAACATTAACACCACTCACTTTACGACCAGCTGAAGTGTCCCTTCTAACTGTTGATGCTTTTCCAATGTGCTGATGGTTACCACCACCATGAGGATGCTCTACAGGCTGTAGGAAGAAGACAAAAAAACACTTCAGAATTGAAACAGCTACTACAAAAACACCCTTCAGTTATTACACAATTGCAAGTTTTAACTATTAGATGGTAAAATACATGTTATACCTCACAATCTGATAGTGTGTTATGCTTGTGGCTCTGCTACAACAATTTTGAATCTGTATGAATAAATATTGGAAATACTTTTTTACTTTTAAATTAATAAATTTTCTTTTGTGCAAAATAAAACAATTATTGTTTGCTTGTTTGAAGTTATGCACAAAGCTACACAATGGGCTATCTGTGCTCTGCCCACCATGGGTATCGAAACCCGGTTTCTAGCATTGTAAGTCCGCAGGCATACTGCTGTGCCAATGGGGGGTGTAAAACAATTAATTCCACCATCTTCTGTAACTTAAGGGTACTTCAATATTACGGACAGTAAAGTAAAACATTAAACAGCAATACCCAGATCTGTTTACTTTCTTTGTAAGCTATACAGTTTACACTAACAACTCCCATATATATCCTTATGTAGAACAATTATACATTTTATTCTAAAGTGCACAAAATAATAAGCTGCGTCCATAAATATAAATATTTTCTATCAGAAATGCTATTAGTATTTTACACTTTTAAAGAATATTGTGCTCACTGTTATGTTTAAGTTGTTTATACATAACGATAATTTAAAAAAAAAAGAAACTTATTTGGAAGTTAATGTTGCATCACTTTCAATTGTTAATTGTTCAATGCAAAAAACGTTATTTGTTCATGAAATTTTATTTGCACTTGGTAATTGAATGCTACGTTTGTCCTCTCCCTTTACTTTTCTTATGTTTACTATGGAAAGTTCTTATAAAATCACTGTCACGTTTCAGTTTAATATTTCATATTTATTGTTTTAACAAATGTCAGCATCATTCTAAGCTCCATACACAATCCGGTACTATACACAGTTTTGTCTTACACATGCTTTAAATGTGAGAATTTTCTTAGAAATGCGAACTGATGAAATACAATAAAGTTTTAAGTCTTTTTCTTTTAAAATTAGTATACTCTTTTCTTTTGATTCAATAATTTGTAAAAATTGATAAGTAGAATTAGATTATACACCTATATCTTTAAATAAAGTATACAACAATAATGACTTACATTCATAGCAACACCACGAACTTTAGGCCAAGAGTTTCTTTTGGCTTTATACTTGTGATAGGCTCGACCTGCCTTCAAAATGGGTTTGTCAATTCGTCCACCTCCAGAGATAATTCCTAAAATACGTTTAGGAAAAAAATTTAAAATATATATATATTTATCCAAAACACTATTTGGGAAGATAAAATGATCAGTACTTTTTATGATTAGTTTTTCGAAAAGAACAATTAGAAATTGCTTAAACATAAGTTTAAGTTTCTTCAATTTGTGTAGAAACACAAAGCTACTCAATGTTATGTGGTTAAATGGCACTAGTATTAAAATGAACAGATTTAAAAACTGCAGAAACACTTATAACTAAATAAATACTCATATTTTTTTTTGTCACATTAACTCTTTTAGCACAGGTTCAGTACCTAGGACTGACCTCATAACCATTTTGTGCTTGTTACAGTTTATGCTATAACTTTTAAATTAGTAAGGGAATGTTAACGAAAATTGGCAGATTATCAGTAAACATTACAATGCTTTCATATGTGAAATATAATTTTTTTTATTAAGTCTTAAGGTTTGTAAAGCAATGTTTTTCTCGTGGCTTTTTTTCTTTTCACATGTTGCCAATCTATCATGCAAAGTAATTTTTATTTTAAATTAAAAATACTTTTATGCATCAGAAAAATTTCCAATTTCACATGTGAAATCTTTATAATGTCCAGATAGTTATCAAATGATTCTTAAAAAAAAAAAAATTTACATTTTGTCTGTTACTTTTGGTAATTAATCTCTGTACGGGATTGGTACATTTGACCAATCTTGTAACCACCATAAAAACATTAGGAAATAAATATAAATTATACCTCTTTCATTCTAGAATGACAAAAAAATTGTAACATGAAAACATAAATGTTTAGACTAAATAGCTAAAATCCCATAACATTATACATTTATTATTTTTATTAGATTGACCTTTCAGCCGTGTCTGGCTAAGAATACAGTAGTTACAATGACACGGCTCACGTGCACTCATGTTACTGTATCAAATAACATAAAACTGACCTATGATTTGTACAAAGTAACTTGTCTTAGCTGTGTTTTAGTAAACTAGTATTTTGCAAAATACAGTCACATTTCAATTATTATACATTATGTATTGAAATAAGTTCTTAAGCTTATTTTTCTTAAAATATAGAACTGTAAATAAAAAAGTAAAGCAAACAATTATCTCTTCTAGTTATGACCTTTGTACTCAGTTGCTGCTTGACGTAGGTTGCTAAGCCTTTAAAAATTTTGCATGCGGAGGATATGAAAAATTTTTTTAAGGTTCTATATACACATTTTAATAACAAAAAAAATCATAAATTACTGTATTGATACCATAGAATTCCACTATCATTTATCAAGCTTAGTAGCTAAGATGTATTTTAGTCTAAAAAAATATGAAATTTCAAGCAGACTAAAGACACACCTTACCTCCTTGAAATCTTGGTTCAAAAGAAAGGAATGGTGTCCTAAGAATTTAAGATGGCTGAGAAAGCCACCATGGGGACATTCTGAGCTTCCGATTGGTTATTCATTGTCATATATTGAAGTGTATATAA